CTCTTTGAGAGCATATTTCTTTTGAGGGTAATGTATCGGTCACTGTTACTTTGGTGACTCAGTGGTACAGACATACGAGCACTGCCGGCCGATAGTACTTCCCATGGTCTTGGTTTCCAATCGATGCGACATGTATGGACAGTCTGCGATATGGTACGAAGCTCTTTAGATGTTCCCGCGTGCTTGACTTTGCATTTGGAATGAGCGTGGTTCAATGATTTCTCCCAAACGTGCAAAGGCACCCAGCCGTTGCTACGATGGGTACAATCTGCCATAAGCGGAAGTCGCGGGTAGATTCGTTACACATGCTGGAATTCCCAATGGCTATAGCGGCTGTTGAGCACTGATCTGATCGCCACGTCGGTAAGGATACGCTTTCTGCAGCCCGAGCTCGTATGTGAACATGTGGGGCTGTTCAGGGTTGACTGTGAACCGGCTGTGGGTTGCCGTACATCAACTGAACCTTAATGGATTTGTCAGTTGGTATTCATGTCGTAGTCTATCAAAACCTACGTTCATGTGCATGAGCCACTAGCCTCATAGCAAAGACACTGTGAACTCACTTTGAAGTTGCACCAAAGAGAGAAATGACTATGAGAGCCCATGCAACATTTGGTAGCAGACAAGGATTTGTCGTATGTTTCGAGGTCGAAAAGGGTGCGTTCGAAGCAAATGAATGCGGTGAGCGCCGAACGGGGTTAGAAGGGCTTGGGTGAGCATGTGGTCCATTTTCTTTGCCTTGTAATTCCGTACTGATCGTTTCTGGACAAAATTTACCTATGAAGCATTGTGGCATCGATTTACTTCAGCTCGATAAATTGATAACTCAGAAAACGAACAGTCGTACGTATCTGTTAGAAGGGCCCATCTAGGAGAGCTATGACGTTCAAGTTAGCCCTAGATTCGAGGCTAGAGGGAATGCCAGGGGGATCTTCCGTTGCATTCAGGCAACGGCGTACGACAGTACGCAGACATGGAGCACGCCCTTCAGTGTCGACACTAACGCCCCCTGTCGAAGAACGAGCCTAAAGCTAGGCAACCTGTCGATGTTGGGTAACACGAGCGCGCTTGGTCATGGAGTTGTCGCTCAAGAGGTAACATAACCGAATCGAGGGCGTGTCTTGCTGCGCTGCGACAAGGTTTTGCCTTGTTGCTCCGTCGACTACATCTGGCACTGCCAAATTTCGTAACGATATCTGTCATGAGTGTTACGAGTTCCAGACGCTCGCACACGAGCGTGGGCGTCCTGACACCTGTCTGTGTTTCTGTGTATCTCCACAGCTCAAGGCAGTAGGTCAACGCAAACGAGTTTCGCCTGCGCAGGTAGCATACCGATTTGTATGCGGAATTAGATACCAATCTTAGGGATACCTGCAGACGGTACTACGAATATCGACAGTCGAAGTGCACGCACCCTCCGGATGACTATGAATTAGTAGGGCTCTCCGAGCGCAGCTGTATCGAGACACGGTGTGAGCTCCGAACCTATTGCATGTAGGCGGGAAGCAGCATGCTGCAATGACTGATGTCATACTTGATGAGGCTTCAAGGGCTGGTCTCTGTTACACATGCAGCGTATCCATGGATAGTTCAAGCGCTAGACAGCTCTGCGCCACTGTGTCACGCCGAAGGTGCGTGACAGTCTCGGACCCTGAGTGCGCTATCGTCATGTGAAATCGAAGCGTGATGAAGTGTTGTGAAGGCAGGCGGCGGATGACGGTGATGAATGTTGGGTGTTGTCGGCTGACAAGTGGGGGTGAGGAGCGTCGGCTTGGGATGATGGTGGAGGCTGCGCGGGACCGATGCGGCGCAAGGCAGCCTCCACCCCGCGCCCCTCCAAGTACCGTACAGATACACGACACAACATCGCTACCCGCTCAACCACGGCCTCGAACTCCGCACGCAAATCAGACCAACCACGAGCAACCAACATGGCCTACAACTTTGTCAGGTCGTACATCGACACGTTCCGGGAGCGGACCGCCGCCATCAGCCACACATCGACCTTCCGCGAGACGGGCCAGATCACGCCCGAGGAGTTTGTCCTCGCTGGCGACTTCCTCGTCTTCAAGTTCCCCTCATGGCAGTGGGCCGACGCGTCATCGCCTGCCAAGCGCGTGTCGTACCTGCCGGAAGGAAAGCAGTTCCTAGTAACGCGCGGCGTGCCCTGCCACCGACGGCTCGACGACAACTTTGCGGGAGAGGCGGGCCAAGATGAGACCATAGTGAGGGATGGCTTCGCTGCTGGGGAAGGCGCGACCGACGACGACGGCTGGCTCAGGACCGGAGGCATGGCCGCAAGCCAGGAGGCCAAGGTGCGCGACGTGCGGACAGTCGACGAGAGCGGCAACCTAGGCGCGGCAGAGGAGGATGACGAGATACCCGACATGGAGGATATCGAAGACGACGAGGAGGCCATCATAAGAGACCCCAAGGCCGACTCAAATACAAAGGCGTGAGTGTGCCCGCCCGCTGCCAACGTTCTATAGACTGACTGAGACCAACAGGCCCCTCCGGACATACACCCTCTACATCACATACTCCGCCCACTACCGAACACCGCGATTATATCTCTCAGGCTACGGCTCCACGTCGGTTCCACTGAAACCACAAGAGATGATGGAGGATATCGTCGGAGACTACAAGGACAAGACCGTCACCATCGAGGACTTCCCCTTCTTTGAGAACCCTCTCAAGACCGCCTCAGTACATCCCTGCAAACATGCGTCCGTCATGAAAGTCCTCCTTGACCGCGCCGACGCTGCTCTGAAGCTGCGACTCGCCAAGCTCAAAGCCGGCAAGGATGTCAGCAAGCTCGACAGCGGCATGGAAGCACTAGTCGATGATACACGGCTGCTCAAGCTTACTGAGCAAGCGAAGAACAAGGATGGGGATGAGGGCAAGGACGACTGGGAGGTCCTTAGCGAGGGTGGCGACGATGAGGTAGCTATCCGCGTGGACCAGTATCTTGTCGTCTTCCTGAAGTTCATGGCCAGGTAAGTTCACTCCATACTTCAAAGAAAAGTATCATCTAACAATCTACAGTGTAACTCCGGGTATAGAACATGATTTCACCATGGGTGTCTAGTCATACACACGTCTTTTGGGTAACTAGTCAGGCGCTTAAGGATTGGCGGCATTGTTTTGGATTATTACTTAACTCAGCGGGCGCGAACATCATTTGGGTAGGCGGGCTATAGGCTTTGGGATCACCACGGAATCAATTAGAGATGAACCAGATGTCTCGTTCATGATCGTATGGGTTGAAGTGATGAAAACTTGGATTGCACTCTATCGTCGGAAGCCTCCATAAGATCGCTTCCAGTCCCTCACACCTCCAGGTCGGCGCACATCAAGCTCCTTGCCTTCGTATCCCAAGCTGCTCTCCGCGCGGTGGAACATGGCGCACAGACGGTCGAAGAGACTGTCTTCCTCTGAAGCCTTGGGGAGGACTTGTGGCGCTTCCACAGATCCCGGTGCTACGTCTCCAGAAAAGTCCTCTTGGTCGTCGTCATAAGAGGCTTCTTCGTCGGTTGGTGTTGGATCAAAGAGGGCATGGAATTTGTGGTTTAATCGAATGCGCCATGGGTCAACCTCTGATGATGCGGAAGATGAGAGACGTTCGGCGATTTCAAACTATGACAGTCAGTCACCATATCCTTTTCATATTCAATGACATGCGCAACATACCTCTCGCAGTCCTTGAAGGCGATACTGCTCAGCTCGCTTTTGGAGGCGGGGCGCCGAAGGTGATATGGGCATGGCAGACGCGAAAGCGATCAGGGCCACGATGGCCATGATGATGAAGGAGCGCATTTTTGGTGTGGTAAACGAAGGAATGCCGGGTGGGTGGTGTAGCTGTTCAGTGAGATCGAAATGGGTTGCTGTCAAAGCTGAATAGGCGTAGTCTAGCTACCCTTAGAGACCAGCGCTCTTGTCAAAAGTAGCGAAATGAATGAAGAGAAGAATGTCGAAGGCCCGAGTAAGTATGCAACAAGAAGAGATAAAGCACGTTAATGAGTGGCGATCCACATGTATATCCGCTGCAAGAACGGCCGGGGTAGTAGCGAACGAAGACCGGTTCGTCCAAAGTGCATCATCACCCGCAGCTTATCCAGACAAGCTCACTATATATCCACCAACCGGTAGGTGGAAGGCCTGTCAGAGGTTACGTCTGCCTGTCAATTATTCCGAAACAGCGGTCCGCGCACCAAGAGAAACGATCAACGGCAGGGAGGGGATGTTCGCGCAATCTTTAGCCCGTGGTGTTGGCGCAGTTGTGACCGCATTGAACACGCTGGTGCGGATTCATCGAACCATTGCATAACTTCGAGACGCTGGGGCCCAGTACGCCTGAAGGACCTGCCCGATGTAGTTGGAAGGAACCAGAGATCCGTTGAGGGGAGCCAGACGTGCATCAGCGCCCCCCAGCCTGTGGCCTTGACTACTCGGCTGATGTTTCCCCAGCTTCTAGATCTAGATCAGTGTGTTTCGATCGCCGGCTTTGCGGCTAGGCGTGCTGTTTCGACTCGCATGATTCCTGGGACGCCACCGTCATGCCAAGTTGTCTGCGGATGTCAAGTCTGATACAGGCACGCCGGGCGGTTGAACTGGAGGATTCCGGAGATTTAGCCTGGAAGACGTTGGGCTGGACATGATGAAACGAATGTAGCAGATGGATTGCGCGTCAAAACGCGGGCGCTAACACTAGCGTAGCGCTACTTGACGCACGGGCGTGCAAGAGCGATTGAAGGCAAACAGAGCAAACACTCCCAGCCTCCACATCACGCGGACGTCATCACCGCCGCACGACTTTGGGAAGACTGTATACTCACTTGGACAGTTACCCAGACATCACATAACATCGCGCTTATCTTGGCTATTCAAACAATGATCAGCTGGACATCTCAACCAGACAGCCGAAGGCACAGAACGCGTCTCTTGGACACGTCTTGACAACCCCTGCTTGGAGGAATCGGTTCAGCATAAAATACCCCGATATGGACGATCATGGACACTCTTCCCAGACAATACGCCCAGGATCGCTATCACCAACATCCACGATATCCGCACAGGCCCTCGACCTCAGCAGACTCCCGCCAATTGCAATCTTCACTGCGCATCTGAAGGACGAGGAAGTGAAGTTGCTCAAGGAAACGTTGCGCCAGTACGACGCACCGCTTACTACCGATGTCTCCAGGGCAAAGGTCTTTGTTGGGAAGGTGGGTACAAAGAGAAGGGCCGAGTTCGAATTGAGGGCTCGAAAGCTGGTTGTTCAGGAGATTGTCACGCCGAAACGGCCAGCTAGTCCTGTGAAGGCACAGGATCGCTCCAACAAGAGGCGAAGGATTGGTAAAACGTCAGGTCGGTTATCTGCGGACGAGGGAGACTCTACCACTGAGGAAGAGGCTGGCATCGGCTCTGAGACTGAGCAGCACCACGTTCCTCTCTCGTCCCCCTCGAGATCCGACAATGGCTCACAGGTTCCGCTACTGTTCGAGGATTCGTCTCACGATACCATCTGGGTTATCAAGTTCGACTGGGTAGAAGCTTGTGTAACTGCAGGTCATCTACTTCCATTGGGAGACAACTTGGTCTACACGGGTAAAGTCATGAAACGGCCTAAATCATTGAATAAGAAGTCTATCAAAGACATTTTCGGCGCGCACACAAAAGTAGCGCCGGCATCTCAGACACTCTTGGCAACACGACCACATCCGGTGCAAGACATCTTAGATCGCGCGAAACTAGACATGAAGACGACCACGAGGAAAAGCACTTATCAGCCGCAAAGATTCGGAAATCACACTTCTAATCGCTTCGATGGAAAGGCTTTCGCCCGCTCTTCCCAGCCTGTCGGTCACTCGTATGTTTCACAAGCTGCACATCTACTGCAGCAAACGACCAGTGAGTACGAAGGCGAGGACAGTGATGTTCCTGCAGCACCCGAATGGGTGAAGAAAGGCGTCAAGTACTCATGTCAGCGCTTCACACCTGGTAACGGACCCAATGAAGACTTCCTCGACCAGCTCAGGAAGATAAGGACTGCTCGAACTTTGATCGACGACGACATAGGTGTTCGTGCTTACTCAACCATTATCGCTTCTATCGCTGCATATCCGTACAGACTTAGTCACCCCCGAGAGATCGCTCAGCTACCGGGTTGTGACGAGAAAACTGAAGTTCTTTTTGTAGAGTGGAAGAACACTGGCAAGATTCAAGCAGTCGAAGATTTCGAGGCCGACGAATCAATGAAAGTCTTGCGTTCCTTCTACAACATTTGGGGCGTTGGAGCCAAGACCGCACGCCAATTCTATTACAACAACCACTGGACTGAATTGGATGATATCATCGAGTTTGGCTGGAACGACCTGGACCGAGTGCAGCAAATCGGCGTCAAGTACTATGACGAATTCTTGATCTCTATTCCGCGCCCTGAAGTTGAGCAAATTGCCGCTGTTGTTCGCGAACACGCTGTGAAGCTTCGCGACGAACGCATTACTGTCACGATTGTGGGCGGGTACAGACGTGGCAAGACAGACTCTGGCGACGTGGACTTGATCGTGTCGCACCCGGAGCTAGAGAGTACAGCGGGCTTGGTCCGAGAGATTGTTGAGTCATTGGAGGAATTTGAGTGGATTACTCACACTCTTACAATGAGCTTGAAGAACACTAATCGTGGTCAACATGCGCTACCTCTTCGATCTGCCAAGGGAGCCGGCGCGGGCTTTGATACGCTTGACAAAGCCCTCGTTGTGTGGCAAGATCCAGCGTGGCCTACTCGTGAGGAGGATCTTGCGGAGGATCCAAGAGCGAAGAACCCTGCTATCCACCGCCGAGTTGACATCATCATTGCACCTTGGCGGTCAGTTGGTTGCGCAGTCTTGGGTTGGAGTGGCGGTACCACCTTTCAGCGTGATCTGAGGCGGTATGCGAAAGCCATCAAAGGCTGGAAGTTCGATAGCAGCGGTATCCGAAGTCGAAGTAACGGCGAAGCCATAATGCTGGAAGGGCCCGATGGAGTCGAGGGTACGCCCGAAGATGCTGAGAAGAAGGTCTTTGAAGGGCTAGGCCTGAAATATGTACCACCAGAGTATAGAATAACGTACTGATGGGGCACGTCACATGGTACAGCATCGTGAAGACAGCTCTCCTGCTTCACCAGTTGTCTTCCACGAAGTTCCTTTCCAACTTCATCACAAGTAGCCTTCACGCGCCCATGCTACTCGCTGAGATATCCCTACATCTTGCAACACCCAATATGTCCAGAACTCTGGCAGCTACCTCCGAATACGATCGCCTACCATCATGCAGCCTGACCGGCTGATCAACGCCCTCACCATCACTGTACAGATCCTCATCAGCCTTGTCCTCTTCGCCATCGTCCTCCCCTTCTTCATCCTATGGCGCGCCCCAATAAGCCTCCTCTACTTCACCAAGAACGAAAAGCCACAGGAAAAGAACGCAGACCAAGAGAGAGAAAGGCTGCAAGGCCTGCCAGCGGACGAGGAAGAAGAAGAACCGAAACCACCCCCATCACCAGACCTCCACGAGCGCGCCCTCGCACACTACACAAAACACTGGACAGCCTTCAAATTACGCCCGATCAACAAACCCCTCGTAGCCCACTGGTCACGCGTAGCATGCCTCTCCCTCCTCACAATACAAACCACGCTCACCCTCGCCCTCCTCGAAAAATCGCTCGTCTACCACATCCCCTGGTTCGTTGCACATCTCTCAGACACAGAATACAAGACGTCGAAGAAGAAACTCTGGCTTAATGACCTCTTGCTGCATGTAGCCTGGCTACTTATGACATGTGCGCCTGTTGTAGGTTTATTAGGCGTGGGCCTGGGTATTGCGTATTACATGTCTAAAGCGGTAAGGTACGGCAAGTTTCGCAAGGGTATGGAGAGGAAGAAGGGAGGGAGGGGATATGAGGATCCGAATAAGGCGAGGGAGGGAGAAGGGAAGAATGGGGAGGCGCATGGGGTGAAGGAGACGGTTATGGGGGTTGTGGATCATGTTATGCATCCAAATGTTCATGTTCCGCAGCTGCATTTACCGCACCCGCATCTGCATCACAACCCGCACGAACAGCGGGAGCCGGAAGCTTCGCCGTATGGGTATCCGGGGTATAGTGAGGACATCCTCTTCGAGCAGCCTGGGGATACGGCGGGTGGGTATCAAGATACGGTCCAGCAAACGCCGCCTGTAGTGGTCCAGCCTCCGGCACCGGCGGCAAGGTTCGATAAGAACCCTTATACTTTGGCTGGTATCGCGTCGATCTGGACTGGTCAGAAGGAGAAGATGAAAGGTGGCTACGACGGGAGAGATGTCAGGAAGCAGAACTTCGCTGACGATATTGAGATGGCGGATTGGGTGGGTAGGAAGTAAATGATACGATTATTCATGATGTATTCTTGCTGGCAAGGATGAAGGATATAATTATGTTGTTAGTACATATGAAGAAAGAGCAACCCCTCATCCACTGGTATCATCGTCCACCCGCCTCAACTCCGCGCTTTTCTTCAATGTACACATCTCGCTTTTGCACTACCCCAAACGCCCCCATCATATCTGTCAACACATTCAAGTGCTCTTCTTTCCCTGCGCGGCAGCATCCAAATGCCATTTCATGACCTTCTCAAAGATGCCCTTACCATCTCCCTCCATGACATCGCCATGGCAAGGGATAATCCTGTTGAACCCCCACTTGTTGATCCTCTCCATACTAGCCGAGAAACCCTTCCTGTCACTCGCACTAGTTCCATACCAAATAGTCCTCTGTTGCCACTTCGCATCACCCTTTGTACTCTGCAGCGTCCCAAAGATCTTGGTCAAGATGCCGCTATTCGGGTCGACCCCTGATTTGCTGAACTGCTCAGTAGCAGGCAGATTGAACATGAGATCAGCCTGTATGAGAGTGCGGGTGGGACGGTGGTGGAAAACAAGTTCCTTGTTGACGTGCGAGGGGACGTATTCCCAATCGAACTCTGCGTCGAACTCGGGGGAGATGGTCTCGACGCGTTTGTCGGCGCTGAAGAGGATCGAGAAGGGGACGTTTTCGTCGTTTTGCTTTGCGCGCTTTTCGGGGAGGACGTCGGGGCCCATGACTTGCGCGTTGGGGTATTCCTTGTGCCAGGGGCCGAGGAAGATGTGGTGCTGTTGCGTATAATGTTAGCGACGATTGCGGGTCTTCTGGTGGGCTTGATACGTACTTCTGCGTCTAGGGCGGCGATGTATTTTACTTCGCCCATCTCAGATACTTTCTGCTTAACATCCTCGGTCAATGCGACGGGAGAGAAGACGGCGAGAGAACCGGATTCGAGGCGCACTGTTCTTGCGCGTTAGCAGGTGCATGTGAAGTGTTCGTTGGGCACAGCATACCAATCGTTCCTCTTCCGCCAATCTTCACACGACCAAATCTCCAGAATGGGACCGATAGAGTGGTGATTACGCGCGGAACAACGTCACGAATCACCATAACGCTGGCGGGGTCGGAAGGTACGAGTTTCGACGACATACTGGGCTTTGTGGATTGTAGAAAGTCTGGGTGAAGAGACTCAGTGTGGAGAGAAGAGATATTGTGAGGATGCGCCGGATGCTTGGTATCTAAGATAGAAGACGTAATGCGGCGAGACCCTTGATGACGCAATGTTCAAGATTGGAGTGAAGCGACTTTGAAACTGCAATGTAGCAGCCATGATGCGGGATCTTAGCTATATATCATTGCAAAAGTCTTAATCGGCATAAAGGACGACGGTTTGTCCGCTCGTAATGAGCGTGTGGAGAAATGTCATTCGAGCAAGGTGTTGGTGTGTCGCGTGGAAATGCAAGGAGCATGAGCCGAGGTGTCCCGCGACGCGTCGGGCTTTGTCAGCTACGTCACCGCTTTGTGAACTCCAAAATCTAGAACTTTGGGTTTGAAGATGGGAGCATACTTCGCGCGAGCTGCAATTGAACAAGTAAGGTTCATACTGAATTTATTTAGACGGCTATATATAGATCGTCATCCTCACATGAACTCTCGATCCGTAGCCACATTCGCATGCTACTTCTAAATTCGCATCTCGCGATTTGGTCTTCGGTGTTCCCAGTAGCGCTTCCAGGGGCCGCCGACCACCGACCCACATCATCAGTGGGCTCGCGTCGCGTCCTGTTCTAGAAACTTTCCTTTTAGATGGAATGCTCGGACGAACTTGAGCGGCGCCCAAGATGCGAGTATTTGGAAGCATCGCAGACTGGCTGTTGGCCAGACGTGTCGTCTTTTGTAAGGTTATTCTGCCTCGTGCGAGGTCTCACCTGGCATTCTCAGCGCTGAGCTCTGCCATTAGTCCTCCGGCATCCCTTTCTTTGGCGTCTTCATCAAGCCTTTTCTGGATGAACGCGTTCATCTCCTTGACCTTCTGCAGAGCAACGTTCGTGCAATTCAGCAGAGCCAGCGGGTTTATTGTCGCTCCTCCGTACTTCGCAATCTGACACAGTTCGCCGTGCTTGTTCATTGTGAGAATGACTTCTCCCTGCCTGACTTGCTCTTCAGCCAAGTTTGCATCCACCAAAAATATCTCTCCCTCAAAGTATGAAAAGGTAACACAGAGCGGCTGGTGTAGGATCGACAACGGGATGGGTTCGCGCTCGCGCACACTGAGAATGGTCGCCTTCTCGCCTTCTACTTGTACGTCTGGTCTTCGGAAGTGTTGTAACGCAGCCATGACGGCTATGCACGATGCATCGATCAGCCCGCCGTCATGGTCGATGATGTGTACGTCGGCGCGGAGAGCGAAGCACTTTAAGCCAGCGATGATGCAGAGCGATTCGGTGTCAAGAGCGTTGGAGCGACGGATGGCTTTCTCGAGGATGCGCGAGAGGATGACTTCGGCATCTGTAGGACTAATTTTTCAGTCAGATATACCAAAGGTCTGGTAGGTATTTAGAACAACATACCGACCAACCTCAAAGGCTGGAGAAGCCATTGGAGAAAACTCCGTGACTATTTGAAAGATACCATCAAACTTGCGCTCTGGTAATGGTGTCGTCACGTCTACTGATATGCGCGCAATCACCCTGAGAAGTGTTAGCTTGCGCATATGACCTCCCAGTAAATCATGTACCTTGTCTTGCCTAACTGAACATCTGCGACGCCATACTCTTCTCCAAAAGTGAGCTCGAGTGGGCGGAAGGCGTCGAATGCGCGTCGGTCAATTCGTATCTGTTCCTGCAGCGCTTGCTTGATGAACTCGCGCTCATTAAGCGATATCTCAGCTTCTCGAGGCATCTTTGTCCTCTACAACAAATGCGTGGGGTCGTCGATGTTGAAATGGTAGTTGTTGTAGCAGCCATAGAAAATGCGGCGGCGGGGAATTGCAATCGCCGGTCCTCTAGCGCGATTTACGAGTTCAAGCTTCTGTGCACCAATTCTTCTACACATCACCTACTCACCACGTCAACCACGCGCAAGACTTCCGAAACCCGTGCCAGCCCATCGTACCATCGCGAAATAATAAAACCATACAATGACGACCGCCCACAGACCCACCTTCGATCCCGCGCGCGGCAAAGAAGCCCAGCGAGGACCCGCCTACCACCAGCGACTACTCCCAGCGCACACAACACTCAAACATAGACAGCCAGGACAGGGCGGCGATGCGGATATACAGCGCGATCTTCGCGCCGAACTTCTGGAGGCTGAGGCGCGTCACATCGCGAAGAAGAATGGCACCTACGTCGAACCGGAGGCAGCAGCCGAGTCTGGCAATGCGCACAAGCGTCAGATCAATGCTGTACCGGCAGCCGAAGAGGGGGAAGAGGATGAAGCAGCTCAAAAACGGCGGCGCATAGAAGTCTTGGAAAAGTTTAGAGACGTGGACGCCGACGACAGCAGTAGCGAGAGCGAGAGCAGTGACGACGAGTAAGTGCGAAGATCTGTAATTACCCAACCCGTTGACTAATGATGTTCCAGTGACGAAGACGAAGAGGATGAAACCGCGGCCCTCATGCGCGAGCTAGAAAAGATCAAGAAGGAGCGCGCCGCAGCCAAAGCCAAAGAGGAGGCAGAACGTGCCGCAGAAGAGGAACAACAGCGCGAAATCGATGTCGCCCGAGGCAACCCCCTGCTCAACGCGAAAGACTTCACCATGAAGCGACGATGGGACGACGATGTCGTGTTCAAGAACCAAGCACGAGGTACCGAAGACAGGAACAAGAAGAAGGAATTTATCAACGACATGCTGCGGTCCGACTTCCACAAGAAATTCATGGTATGTGCCCCTTGATTGAGCCTCAAGTAACCTTCTAACACAACGCGACAGTCCAAATATATCCGATGAGGTCATTACCTTCAGCTATTCGTCCTTTCCGATTCTCGATTGTCATGCATTGCACTGCTGGCGTTAGACACCTTGGCGTACAGGTTCTGGATCTTTCAGATGGGTTTTAGGGAGTGTGGGATACCCCAGATCTTGGCAGACACAGAGTAGCCAGTGACGGAACAGCACCTAGCGGGACTCTTATCGCTATCATGGATCAGCGGCGACGACCACCATTTCGGGATGTCAGCTTTATCTCTGGCCTCAATCTTTACAACAAATCGATCCAATGAGTGCCGACCTACAAGTCCCGACCACGCATTCAAGGCGTGAAAAAGGAACCATCGTGAGGTTGAGGCCAGCGGCTCGTTCGACCCAAAAGTATTCAAGGGCCTATCAAAAGCAACCTTGGTATCGTAAACTTGCATAGCATCGACAGCTGCACGTAGGATTCAGTTTAGCCACTATCTCCTCCGACCCACATAAGCGGAACTTAGCGTACTACAAGGAATACCAAGCACACCTTGGCCGGGTCTTCCACCCTCTTATAGAGCTTCTGATCGCATGATCTACGCCTCCCCCAGCAAGGTGACCTCATAAGGCTTTTTGACTCCTTAACACATGCCAATTATGCTCGGGCTAGCACACGGCAGATAGTAAAGGAAGGGTACATGAACGATATATAGTCCGCGATGGATCTCCGCGTATTCGTGGTAACATAACACAACCTACTACCTACCGTCATACTTTCCGATATCGAGTAATACAAACCTGAACATACACCCAAACACTCAAAGTTATCACATAATCACAAGCAAACATGGCAGGCTATGGAAACCGCACAGCCCCAGACTACACCGCAGAAGACCTCCAAGACCAACACAGCACCACACGTCTCGGTCTCGTAGACTCTCACACCCCATACCATAACCCCCACGAAAAACACGGCTCAGGTATAACAGGTGGCGCAGGATTTGGTAATTCCACCCTTCCCCCTTCCCTCTTCTCATCGTCCCCCAGCAAACGCTCCCTCACGCACACGCCTAACATTCCTAACACCTACCCAGGAAACAAACGCTCCTCGTCCACTCCCGACACCGACACCTCTGAATTCCGTTTCGGCAGCCACTCCGACACAGCGCCTTATTCTAATGGGACAGCCATGGGCAGCGGATCTACAGGCGGCGCAGGGTATGGCAACAAGACGGGGGAGATGAGCGGACCGGAGCCAGATTCTCTCTTGGGGAAGGTAGTGGAGAAGGTGGGAGGTATAGTCAAGAATGATAAGATCGAGGCGAAGGGGAGGGGCATGAGGGAGAAGGAGGGATTTGGGAGTGTGGTTGAGTGAGTTGATTGGGCAATGGATTGCAGCTGCGTGTGCTTTCTCAACGAAGCTTCGATTCTTTTCGCACCGGAACACAGACTTCCAGGGTTTTGCTTGATCGCTAATCGCTTTTTTATTCATACTATATCACTATTCCAAGTACATGAGTGAGACAAAAGGAGTGTAGACATCGCTATACAGAGCCAACCCCTGAACCAAGTCAATAAAAAACCTAAAATGAGTGTAGTAAGAAATCCAAAGCGGTACAAACATCGAGTGAACTTGCTTTCTTCCAAAACCGAAACTAGAGTCCAATGCCCGGAAGTTGAACGATGGGTGTTGCGACTGGTGCAACAATGGAGAGTACTGGGTTCAGGATGGGTGTTGCGGCTGGTGCAGCGACGGAGAGTACTGGGTTGAGGATGGGTGTTGCCGCTGGCACTACGACAGAAAGCACTGGGTTTAGGATGGGTGTAGCCACTGGAACTACGACGGAGAGGATGGGTGTCGCCACTGGTACTACGGCGGAGAGTACTGGTTCAAGGATGGGTGTTGCCACTGGTAGAACGACTGAGGCCACGCCGGAAACCACAGGCGCTACGACTGAAACCACACCGGAGACCACAGGCGCTACGACGGAGACGACATCGGAAACCACGGGTGCTACGATGGAAACCACGGGTGGGACGACAGCGGAGACGACTGGTGGAATAGCGGAAACCACACCAGAGATGACTGGTGGAATGGCAGACACCACAGGCGGTATGGCAGAAACCACGGGTGGGATGATAGGTGGAAGTGCAGACACCACGGGTGGAATGGTTGGAGTAGTTGGTGTAGTAGGAGCAACACATTTGAGTCCGCTGACCTTGATCTTGGAGCCGATTCCAGAGGAAGTAGTGCAGCACTTGATCGTGCCGCCGCAAGGGGTACCGAAAATCTGAACAGTGCCGAGGATATTGCCCAGAAGCGTGTTGATGATGTTGAACAGTCCGCCGGGCAGGCAGATCTGCTTGAAGCTTCCAGCAGGGCATGTTGGAGCTGCTCTCGGTTCAAGTTCCATGGTAGGCACCGCTGAAACAGTGGCCACCACAGTGAAGACGGAGAGGATGGTGGAAGGCTTCATCTTGGTGTTGGGATGAAGAGGAGGTTTGTGTTGTAAAAGATGGTGGGATGATGAGAAGAAAGGTGCTTAGTAGTTGTGATGCTGTGAGTTGTTCTGATGATGATGATGGCTATGGGCGAAGGGTGGTAGGTCTTATATAGACATTTCAGCGTGCTCAGGTGAAGCGCTCTCTCTATCTTCTGCTCTCACAGCTTGTCGCTTCCCCCGATCGAGATCATGTCTGCCCAGGCTACACCAAGCATAGCTGAACTCCTTCCAGCTCGTCTGGATGCAAGAAGCCCCTCGGTAAACCGTACGAAACTTGGCACTGAAGGTGGTTGAGGTCATCGTGAGTGTCAAGCGCAAGCCTCGTTCCAAGATGTCACTTCGTTCATCGTATGATTATGGTGTCTTCGATGATAAGATAGTACGCCACAGTTCGAAGCGAGCCTTAGGGTGACGGTCTGGAGTTGTGATACCAAGCTCCCCTACATGAAGAGCTCACTGTCTCCAGTAGTCTGCATGAGAGACGAAACTAATCCAGGTCTGTCTACGATCAGCGCAAATATAGCGGCAAATCCGCTGTCACTCGAAGCCACTTCTACTAAGACCTCCTGTGGCAACACGTGGACTTGCTGTTTTTGGATATCCTCCGGCGCTTGATCTTGATTCTACGCCTGATTCGGATGGGTACTGTTACTTTCCAGGACTGCGGCTGCAGGTTCGCGGAACAACTGGGGATCGTACGCTCCGGGCAAAAGCAAAAAGGATTTAGTGAAAGGTACCAAGATACATGAGGCTGGGGAAACTAGTGTAGGATCAACAACATCTAGCTCTAAGCTCGTGTGTTATCGCGCTTAAAACGCGTGTATTGAGCCACTGACGATACAGTGCCAAAGACACCCTTAGTGGCATCGTTCACCAAGGTCCAGGAGTGTACACGCCCATCTAGAGCTGAATCTACCCCTCTGACTACACTGCTCGGCTATGTCTAAGTTTTGATATGCTGCTTTTTGGGCTCCACGTTCTCTTGGATCATAACAACTTCACGGGGTAGGTATGGCCGAGACCTAGAGTTCTTGGCAACAACTGCGGGCCACTGCTCCGTGATTGCTTTTATTGGTACGAACATTTTGTCCTCAACTGTGATGAACGGGTTGGATTGTGCACGAATGTATCTGCGCATCGGTTGGCGGTGTTTCAGTCGGTTCAGTAGACGTGTATCGAGGTACTCAGGCACTTGTCATCGCTTCGCGGCCGTAAACTGCGTGAGTTGTGTAGCTCTGCAGTGAGAACAGACGTCACAGGCGTGGCGAGACTAAAGAAGGGTCGGGTCGATAGCGTACCGTTCCTTCTCGTTTCCATGCCCCGGGCAGCGAGACCGTCGCCCACTCCCTATCCTGTCTTTCCCCTCTTAGACATTTGCGCCACACATCTCCCTAGTTGCATCCCCGCACGCTCTAGTGTATGCACTACCGTTTTCCACTGCGTGATATGGTCAGACTGCATAGCGCAGGAAATAGCAAACCTAAGCGGACCCCATTCTTCAACACCATAAAGCCTGACGTTCTGGACCTCGGGATAGTTCTTGACGTCGCTCTCGCCGGACCCAGGAAATCGGAACCGAAGCAGAGCCCTGCGCTCAATTATTCCGGAAAAGCAAAATGGTTTTGCATGAACTATCGGCCTTGGATACCTCCAGCTGAGCTGCACTGCCGTTGTCGTACCTTACTTCCTTGCGGGTGGTGACGTCTCTACAGGGCTTATCCTCGGGCCAGCCCCTTCCGCGTAACGGAACCCGCTGTCAAGGCAGTGACGGGTTTCGCTCCTGCCGAAGTGTGCTCGAACGTCGATCAGCAAGGTTGGGTATTGACACCACGGCTTGATAGCCGGAATACCAGACTATGTATAATCTCTCTTGTCATGGCAATAGAGGCTTCGGTAATAGGCCGTTTGACCAAGCTGTCAGCTTTCGCATTGCAACAAGCGTGGGTTCGGAACGGTGTTGTTAGCCAAGTGAGGCCGACGTTAGTTTGGCCTTGCGCATCTGAGGCTATCCCCTCACTCAGACTACTACAAGAGGATACGTGATGAAGGAGAAGCCTGGCTGGTTCGATTGAGTGTAAGAGGCTTACACGTCCAGTCTTCCGTCTTCGAGCTTGCAATAAGTATATATCCCATCCAATCACCCATTCCTTCACATACGACCATAGGACAATGAGAATTAGGCTTCCCGTCCGCTCAGCCATATACAAGCATTGTACCGGCGGATTAGTAGTTAGGTGGGTGACCACTAGCGAATCCCCGCTGTTGTATGTTTTTGCACTTTTTTGCCATGATGATTTTTTTTGGACCCATGCCGAACAGGGGAAGGCGCCGACGAGGAGGTGGAGACACCGAGGTAGCTGGCCTCCAGCTGGAGTGGCTTATCAAGTACGGACGCGAGTGGGTGATTAGGAACGCAGGTTACAGGCGGACAGTAAGTTGTATTTTGCAGCTAAAGCTGTCTTGATGAAGGAATACGCGAGGCTACTATGCCCTAGAACAGAGAAGAAATCGATCTTGCGAACTTGTCAGCAATGCTACTAGGTAGAGAAGTGGTAAAAGTACCATTGATAGATCGTTGAGGTATCTTTGAACGCCATAACCCATTTTTGTCTACATCGCGGCGCTTGAGAATGCTGCCGCGACGCCCAAACTCCATGCTTCTTCCCGTGCTATCCCGTGTACACTCTTCCATGTAGCCGAGCTCCAGATCTTCCTGTAGATTCTCCCATAACGCAGGCGCGCTTGACGGCGCGTAGAACAGCAGTCCAAGCCACCTCAATGATTCCTGAAATTCTTCTTCTGGTAGAACAGATCCGTCCTACTACTACCCAGATTTATAATCTTCGGACATCCATCCCGGTCCTTCTCCAGGCGCGTACACTCGAAGCAGTAGAATGCGTCTGAGATACCCTCGCCACCGCATACGACGCACTTGTTCTGGTAGTTGCCGAAGGAGCATTCGTCGCAGATGCGGGCGAGGGTGGTCGGGCGGACGTAGGAGTCGCAAACGGGGCATTTGCCGTCGCACTTGTCGCAGAGGCGGCCGATAGAGATGCCGGACTGCTTGCGGCACATGACGAGATCGCTGCGACAGGTGTCAGTATGCGCGACTCTTTGAAGTGAGAGGGTACTTACGGATGATGGCGAGACATGGCGGAAGGTTGTGAGGGTGATGACGAATATGGACGTGTTCAATATCGCAGGTTTAATAGAGCTTGGTGTCTCGTCGTGACGGGTGCGTTGGTATGGTGGTGGCGCGTGACAGTGAGACAGAAAGTCGGTCGTGAAAGTCAGCTTCGGTGGTCCGCTGCTAGCGTGAACTGAACCCATGCTCCGTGCACGAAGCTTCCATCGCGAGATCCCTGGGCCACCTACACCAATGACACCCACGCGTGCTTCTCTGATATTGCTAAGCACACATTAGAAACGTCCAGAAAGCCCATACACGACGCGCGACACTGTCATGGACGGACCCATTGCATCGGCTGTAGTCCTTCCGGATGAACTATCACTGCCAGCCTCACCCCCGGTAAACGGCCACAAGAGACGACAAGAATCACTAGCAGAAGACACCTCAAAGCGACCGCGACTCGAGAATGATACTGCCACCCAAGAAAGACGTGATTCTACCACCAAAGACGCAAAAGACGACAAGCCCACCCCTGTGCGACGCGAGAGAGGACGAGAGCGCAGATTATTTGGCGCCGCTTTGGGTGCACTCTCACAGAACTCTGCTACTACAGGACAGAAACGTCGCGCCGAGATCGAGAAGCGACAGCTAGCTCAGCGCAAACAGGACGATCAAGAGAGCGAGCAGAGGAAGGCAGAGCGAGCAGCCAGGCGCAAAGAGCAACGATGGAAGGAGCACAAGCTTCTCGAGAGGGATATGGTATGTCTTGACAGTCTACACCTGACGCTCTGGCTGGGTGCTTACAATTCATAGATGCGGGCACGTCACGCAAATCTACTCGCCATGGCGCACTTCCTCCAGACCAAGTCAGAGCCACACCTCGTACGTCGCCTTCCATCTGACCACCCTGGTTCACAGCTGATCTTGCTCGCAGTACTACAAACCCTGGGAAACCAGTCCCGACGAAGAAGACCGCATACGTGACCAAATAGCCGAAGCCGAAGAAACCGTCAAACGAGAGATAGAAGAGTACGAGGCTCGCCAACAACCGGATAATTTGCGGAGACGGCATGCATCCGAGGAAACAAAGGGTGATGCAGAGGGTGCAGAAACCGGTAAGAACCATGATGCACATGCACCTCAAGAGACAACCACCACCAATGGCGAGACTAATGGTAGCGCCATCTCCCCCAAGGACCTGGACATGAAGGACCACCAGCCCGATACCCCTGACACCAATGCAAAAGTCGAGCGCGCCACTGAGGACATACAGAATAGCCACGGTGCAACTCACGAGACCGTAGCTGACACAACCATGAAGGAAGATGACGACGAGAACGGAGAGGATGTTGTCGAAGAAGCCGCCGAGGACACCGTCATCTATTGAGGATCACCCGGAAGCCCATACCTTCTTGCCTTTACCCAGGACCGGCCCGATAGATCGCTGTTGGCGTGTCTCGATTGAAGTCGTTCGCAATATCGCCCTTGGTCCTGTCGCAACTTCTGCCAACCGGCCGCGTTGACTTACGGGGTCTGGTTCTCCCACCTTGGATATGCGACCGTACCATCATCAAAGTTCTAGCTGCGATAGTCACAAAGCTTCGCAAATTAATCAAAATATGGTCAATTGTGTCACGGCTCCTGCCATGTCACAAGTGCTGCATTATCCGTCGATTATACGTCCAGGGTATAGCTTATGTATGCGCTTCGGGCAGCACTGTACTCCTTCCGAAAATCTGGGTCACGCATATTTTTTCTGCATATACCATTCCGGCACGGACGCCGGCAAACAACAGCTTACAGTACTCGCTTGCGGTTGTTCTCGCCTCATTCTGCATGCACA